AGTGAAGTAGAGATGGAGAGAGTTGGGATCCAGGGTCAGGCAGTCTGGTCTGTGGAATCACAGGCTCTTATACTTCACCTTGCAACGAGTCAACAGTTTGGGCTTGACGCAAATGTCTCTCCCTTTAAGAAACCCAGACTTGCTTTGGTGACAGCTAGTCTACTGCATCTAGTGGCAACCTATTCCCCACACTGAAGATGCTGCTTAAAGAAATTAAACTAAGCAATGCACCCTGGTTGTCATTCTCATTGGCAATGGTAGCATGTGCTTTCCTCGACCAGTCCTTAAGGACAGATGCAGGCAGATGTTGGCAGATGCATGAGCTTTGCCAAGCTGCCCTACCTCTCTCTGACACTTCTACTTGATGTGTTTTGCACACACTGGAAACACACAGTCACACTCCATTCCCTTCACACCACAGAGTTTCCATCATCTGCAAACAAGGGCCATCACCATGTCCCCACAGGCACTTTGGCCCACTCAGCAGCTCTGTTTGGTGAGCACACAGTGTTAGGCGTGATGGTTTCGCCTGTGGGGGATCCCATTGCACCTATTTCTGCTGCGTGGAGCAGAGCTATCAGGTGACACAGTGAGGTGGTTTTTCATGCATGGCCATCCATTACGGCTCTGTTACTATATTAGGTCCATTGCTGGAACCATCTGCTGGGCAGGCTTGGCAGGCAGGCAGCCCAGATGACATTCCCTGGCTCCGGGCTCTGGGCAGCAGCTGAGCCAGCCTGAGGGAGCTGGGCACTATCCTCTTGGAGGTCATTTGCCAGAGTGGCATTTGCTAGCAGTTCTTTGCTTAAGGCTGTGTTGTCCTTTCAGGGGTGAAAAAGGGGTGTTTCATAGGCAGTGGTGCATTTGGCAGAGGAAAACCCTCTGTAGCACTGCCTTGTGTGCCAGTGCTCGTCCTCAGGGCTCCTTTGCTCCAGCTGCCACGGAACTTATTATCCCAACTCAAAACCAACCTCCTCCCGCTTCAGCCATCTTCTGTAGCTGTCTCCAAAGCTGCTGTGGTTCAACAAGAAGAGCCTTTTAATGATTCCTGCCCAATAAGCTTGTGCAGAGTCAGTATGCCCAATTCTAGTCCTAATCCACGGAAAAATGCTGCCGTTTTGTTTTGTGGATGCGGATAGTGCGTGTTGTAGAGCTGGCGCCGGGTTTTGTCATCCACGCTGCGAGACCATTGAAGCTGTTGCTGTCCTGGGAGCACAGCACAGCAGCTTTGTGTTAGAGGGGCTTTGGGTACAAAAGATGCTTCCGGAGGGACCAGCTTGTTTGAGCTGGAGAGCTTTCACCAGCTGTGTAAGGATTCCGGGAAACAGCGAGGCACGCTCGGCTTGCGTGAGGGGGAAAAAAAAGCAAAGCTAATGATTGACTATTATTTTAAGGGGATTATCTAATCTGCAGCCCAGAGGACAAGAGGGGCCAAAATGAGTGAAGATTGAATTAGTAGTTAGCGCAGATTGTTGGTAATACCCCCTGGACGCCGCCTGATTATAAACGGAAACAGATTTTTCTAGTTTCCCACCCCTAAAAAAGCCTTTGCAGGCCAAAGGGCCACTTTGTACTGAGAAACTGATGCCAGTGAAGTGGGTGATCAGAGCTGGGGTGGTGGAGATGTTTAATGCAGAAGTTGACTGGGTAGAAGGGAGGCAGAGGAGCAGCTTCTCTTGGATCATTTTGCAGCATAAAGGAGTTTCGGGTGAAAGTGACCAAAATGGAGTGTGTGGAAGGTTAGTTTCTTAGACCCAATGAGCCATCCTGCAGCTCCATCCCTGGTGCTGGGGCTTCTGGTGGCTGTGGGAGCAAAAGGTGCAGGGATGTGATGGTGACCTGGACTAACCAGGGATCCTAACGAAGGCTGGAAACGATAATGGAGCACTCTCAAGAAGTTAGGAACATTTGTTAATTTGGATTCCTGGATTTGAAATATGATTCTTATCAATAATACAGCAATAAGGCAATGGGCAAAAACTGATGCACAGGAAGTTCCACCTGAATATGAGAAAGAACTTTACTGTGTGACTGACTGTGCACTGGAACAGATTGCCCAGAGGGGTCATGGATTTTCCCTCACTGGAGATATTCAAGAACTGTCTGGACATAATCTTGTGTAATGTACTCTAGGATGACCCTGCTTGAGCAGGGAGGTTGGACCAGAGGACCCACTGTGGCCCATCCAACCTTACACATTGTGTGATTCTGTGATATATATTTTTAATGTTGTTATTGCCTGGGCCTGGTTATCAGCTGCCTGAGGTCTGTTAGAGGCTCATACTTTTTATTTTCCTTTCCTCCAGTGTACCAAAGGTCCTTAGAAGTTAAGTGAAAGGGATTTGCAAGAGCTGCAGATCCATTATTAATACAAAATAAAAGATGTTTGGCTAAATCTATCAAGCCTAAAAATACAGTTGGGCACAAATAAGCCCAGAGAAGGAAACAATGGAAGGAACAGTGAAAACAAACGGCACACCCAAGTGCTTGAACTTCTGAAGCAGTTAAAACAAGGCGAGGAAAACAGCACTCTAATCTCTGATGACAAGAGGTTTTCTGTTCTCTTTATTTTGGTCAAAAAGGATGAGTGAGAGAATCACCATCCCCATTTGGGTGAAATGCCGTGATTGAAAAAATCACCCTTGCTCATGTTCAGGTGAAATGCCAGAATTTGGAAGTTTCCCATGCAAAGGAATATGTTTGAAATGCTTGTTTTGGTACACTCTGGCTGAAGGTTCCCAACACGATTCAGCTGCTGCATTGCAACCGTGCAGGAACTCACTTCTCATAAATTACATCCCAGAACGAGACTGTAAATGGGGATGTCAAAACCCTTTGTGCTGTTAAGGACCTTGCTGAAACACTCTTTTGTTTCAAATTTCTTTGCTCAATGGAAAGCAAGAGTAGTTACTCAGTTCCTGGGGATTTTTTTTAGTTCTGCCAGGATGTCCAGTAAGAGAATATTCTGCCCCAAATGCTCTGATGATCACTGGCCTGGAAGCATGTGGGTGGGTGACGGTGTCTTTTAGGTTTAGGAGCATTTGGAGTGTGTGGAAATACCTTCTAAAACACAGCAGGGCAGGTCATCATTGCCCTGATCCAATGTTGTGCCGGCTGAGGAGTCTTGTGTGAAATAACCAACTGCAAAATAATCTGCTGTGATTCGATTAGCTCCAAATCCCTTCACTTAATTCTGCAGAAATGAGCTTGGGAAAATAAGGTGGTGCAGTCAGGCTGCTCCCAAACTGCCCTGAAGCCTGAACATCCCTTGTGCCAGAGGGATTTGTTATTTCCATGCTTGGAAAGCAGCCCAGGATGGGCAGAGATGGCCTCCCAGCACATCCCTTTCAAGGTGGCACCTTTCTTTCCCTGCTCTGCCCGTGGGTGTGTAGCTCTGGAGGACAGCAACATGCCTGTACTCCTAAGAAGAAAAGCAGGAAAGCTGTGCAGAAAAGGAATTGCAATACCTGTGGGAACCTTCTGGAGAAATTAAAAGAGTTTACTAGGCAGGTTTTGCTTGCACCTGGCCCTCTGTGTGTATGGATAACTGCTCCCTTTGAGCCATTTCTGACCTCCTTTGATGACCTGGGCTGACTCACTTGTCACGCTAACATCGTTCTGCTTTTGTTTTGCAATGTTTGGGTATTTTTTGATTAAGAAATACTGCCTGTTTGCCTTGGCAGTGGTGTTCATTGGATTGATGCAGTGGTTTTTAGATGGAGTGTTTATTCAGTCCCTTGGATTCTTTCTCAGGGGTGGGGTGAGATGATCCAAACCTGTCAACATGCTGGTGATCCAGGAGGCTTGTAAAAGGCTTGGGTCTCTTCTGATGGAAACCACCAGTTTCCTCCACTTCCAGGCTCTGGGGTCAGGCTCTGGGGTTGAGGTGAACAGACTTAACTGATTCCCATTTGGGTGAGAAACTTGCACCCCAGAAGAGGATGGCAGCAGCACAAGCAGGAGAGCAAGGGACCCATTACCTTGAGTCAAGCATGGATGCACTCACTTGGTCCAGATGATGACAGGTTCAAACACCCCAGGGTGGATCTGGCTAATGGCATCTTAAAACACCTTTTCCTTTTCGTTCTTGGCCCTGAGAATTGCTGCTGTCTTGTCTTTCCATATTCCAAGTCTATTTGGACTTCTTTATTCTTCCCTGCTCCAGGAAGACAAAGGCAACTGTGACTTACTGCTTAGCAGGTCCCTTGCAGCCAGTCATGGGTTGCCACTAGCTTTTCCCCCATTAATGTCACATTTCTCTGCCAGAACTATCAAAACTTTTATACTGCACATTTCCTTGGGTTGGAACCCATATGTGCTTCATCTCAAAGTCCCCATGTTGCAACACCATCAGGAGTGTATAATCCATTCACATTCCTTCCTCTCCAGTGCTTTGATGAGGTGGGCAGGGGATGGGATGTGTTCTGAGTGCTGTAAGGAGCATATTTTGCACACCCTTACATAAGATTGCAGAAATTCAGAGCTCCTCAGGTCCTACAACCAGGAGGTTATGGTGAGCAAGGCCTTCTGCTGACTCTGGGTTTGGGGAACCGCTCCCACTCAGGGATATCCTCACTCCTGCACGCATCCTTGTGATGCCTGTGGAACAGACATGATTTGCATTGCTAAACACCCATTCCAAAGCTCAGCTGGTTTTCTCTGGGAGTAGCTCTCCAGTAAGGCAAATCTCCTCATGTCTTTTGTTTTCTTACTGGGGCACCTCACATTGTGAATTTTTGGTGTCTCCAAGCATAAGGTTTGGTGTAGGCTACTAAGAGGTACTCTAGGACCGGTGAGTGTAGGACTGACAAGATGTTTGCTAAGCTCCTCTGGTCCATCCAGCCCTGGTATGATGCCTTTGACTGCACATGAACCCAACTGTCCTGGCTGTGCACGAGCTGCCCCCAGGACCTTGGTTTCGGTGTGGGCTGGATGTGCTCTGTGTCAGGATACCAACATGCACCACCTGTTACTAACCACCTCTATCCTTCTACTTTCAGAGCTGGCATATGACCTGGACATGGATGACACCTCTGCAAATAAGCACCTTCTGAATCAGCAAAGCAAAGATGGCTCTGCAGTCCCCAGCAGTGACCCTGAGAGTGCAGCTGCCTGCCCAAGTCCTGCCGCTGCCATCACCCTGGTCCCGCTGCTGCTGCTGGGCCACCAGCCATGAGTGGTGCTGGTGGCATTGCTCGGTGTTGCTCCATGCCTTTTTGAATGAAGAAGACATTTGGAACCTCTTCTGAGATATATGCACATTTCCAAAGACAGGACAAACGACTTGAGTCGGTTTTATAAGAGAATATGGTATCTTCACACAAAGAAAAACAAACTAAAGAGCTGGTGGTTCATGGCAAACTAGTAAATGCATATCAGTGCTTTTTAAAGAGAATCCTGTTTAATATAAGCAGGTTCATATTGAATTGTGTTCCTTGCAGTTTTTGAAGACCGAGGTCTCCCTCGCTGTTAAAGTGAAGACCATATTTCATCTTGAGTTGTTCGAACATGCATGGGGTACAGAACACCTATGGTTTATGAAATACTCTCAGCAAATATCAGCCCCCTGATCCTGGTTGACCTAATACAGATTTTTTCTGTAGTTCAAGCAGTTTTTGTACTTACTCCAAATTCGAGTCTCACCCCTAGGAATCTGGCCAGGACATAATACGGAAGGCATGGGAAGACAGGGGAGAGAGAAGGTCAGACATATGGCAGGAGGGAAGATGCTTTAGAAGAAGAGTTGTCATGCACTGGGATTGTTGTGGAGATGTGCTCCCCAGGCATGAACCCCACTTGGATCATGGCAAGTTGCTAGTGATTTTGCTGCTCACCTCCCTGAACCCCTTCAATGCAGGTGGCTGGTCCCCACCAGCATTTTTGTGGCCCATGCAATGCCCTGGTTTTATTCTTCAGAAGTGAAGCACCTCCTTTCCCACGGGAAATCTACAAACACAGCTCCAGCCAAAGGACAGACAGCGTGGATGTACACGCTGTGCTTTACAGGGATGAATAACGGGCGTCCAACATGTTGTGCTGTGAAGGAGGAAAAGAAAAGGATTTACAGGAGCCCGAGGCAGATGAGACTCTTACTCATGTGTTTCTTTGCATGTTGCTTTACTTAAACTATCTCTAAAATAAAGATTGGTTGCTCTATAAGTGGTGCACTGGAAGCAGCCTCCCATGCGTGTGAGATGAGACTGTGTCTTGTCCTGGAGTGGGCAGCCTGGAAAGGCCAGCTATGCCCAACTCAGGGCCACCATGGAAAGACTTGGCTAAGTCTGATTAAACGGATGGGCTGGGGCCAGGGAGTGTTTGGTTTGGTTTGATTTCTGGCCAAGATGGTTACATATTTCTGTTTAAGATCCTGCCTTTACTAGAGTGATTATATTCCCAGTATCCCAGTGTCTGTGTGCACACACACCCTCACACAAATGTGCATGCTTTAAGTATTTGTGTGCCTCAGACCTTTTCTACTGCAACTTCATGTTTGGGAGAAAGTAGATAAATCTGAACTGTGCAGTTAGATGGCTTGGAGAGTGGAAACTTTGCTCAGTCTAAGTGGTGAGGCTGATCTGGCTGACTGATTTGAAGCCTTAAGACTGTGTGAAGTGATATGGCAGAGAGGGAGATGTTATTAACTCCCAGTTCACTGCTTCTGATGGAAAGGAGGGGGTCTGGTCTAAGCCTCGGCATGATGTGCTGGTTAATGTTTGGGGCCTGTCCTCTGTGTTTCAGAATCCTCGTGTCCTGTCCACTGGGGTGAGTGCTGGGGATGTTTGGGCGGTGCTGGTGATATGCAGTATTCCTGTAAGGGCTGATTTTTCACATCCATGTGGTGTGATGTGTTTTGCATTTTACATATTGACAAACCAAACTGCAATCCTCTCCATCTCTTGGGGTCATACCTGCTGGGAGCCCTTGGGTCAAAGGGGCCACAGTGCACAGGGTGATGCAGGGGGAGCTGTCAGCAGTGCTGGCAGAGGCGTTTCTTCACTCTGCTGCTGCTTTGCTCTCATTCTGGCCCAGCTCTCCCCATCATCCCAGCTCTCTGTGCCGCAGCTGGCTGAGCCCATGAGCCTCTGCTCCACCAAAGGGAATATTTTATTAGCGCCACTTGAATTTCCATCGCTTCTTCCCTTCTGATCATTTTCCTTTCATCCCCCGGGAGCTCTGGGGGTGGGAGCAGGCCACTGGGTTTGTTTAGAGATGATGTGCTGCCTCTGCCTCTCCAGGTATCCCTGGTGCCAGCACAGGAACATCCTTTCCTCTCATATTATGTCAGAAATATTCTGTGTGCTGCTGCTTCCTTAGATTAGCAGCAGGATGGGATGGTGGCACCAGTTTTTCGGTACAAGTCCAGTGTGCTTTCTCTGTGAGGGAACCAGCATGGGCTGTGCCTTGCAGTGTGTCTCACAAAGCCTGGGGGGTTCTCCCCCTCTGCTTCACCACAGTGTGATGCTGATACTTCTCAGCAGAAGACCCTTCTGAGGCACGCTGAGCCTGATTTCCCATTGCACAGACATGCTGTTGGAGACTTTGTTAAGTTCAGAGATCACCAAAAACAGCCTTTGAGCCCACTACCTGCCAAGTTTATAAAATAACGGATTATAACTTGAAAAAGCAGCTGTTGAATTCTCCCCAGACATGGGTTTGTGCATGTGTTTTAACAGGGAGTTTTCAAGAGATGCTGTGGCCACCAAAGTAGAATTTTGGGCAGCATTTTATTCCCATGTCATGAGAAATAAGGAATAATTTTTTCCTGTTTGTTTCTCCACACCAACTCTGTGTATTGGGACCTGTGTTGCTGTGGGCACTGTCACCTCCCCTGTGCATGTGTACCTGGAGCTCCATGCCTTGTCCCAGGGCTTGCAGGTTAACTGCTAAGACACAGTTGAGATTGTTTTTGTAGTAGTATGTATTATTAAGGAGTATACATATCATATGTATGAAAATATATTTTTATGAGTCAAGGAGGTGCAGGGCTTGAGCTGATGGCAGGTGCCAGGGCAGCAGCTTGGCACCACAATAATGTGGTGCTGTGGCTCCAACACCAGCAGTGGCCTCACCTGGCCAGCAAGGTGTGTCACCAGAGGTAACACCTGGTTTTCTGCCTGTGGGAAAAGCAGCTGAACATAGGAGCTCATGGCACAGAGGTGCTTGTGGAGAAAAAACAAACAATGGAAAAACTCTTTTTTTAGATAATTTCTAGCTCTGCAGTGAGAGCCAGAGCCAGTCCTGAGCCAACCCCTGAGTCTCCCTGTACAGAGCCATGGGCTCCTTGGTGCAGTGTACCTGCCAGCACTCTGTCCCAACGGTGCCTCGTGGGCTCCAGATAAAGGCCCAGTGACCTTGGGAACGTTGCCAGTCTCAGGTGTTTGTGCTCTCACCCCTGCCAGTTAACCTTAATGCTTTCTGCCCAGTTCTGCAGCTCCCATTAAGCTCTGGTGGCAGCAGTGGGGTGGCAGGAGCCTGCCAGGCCCATGCACACACTCTATGCAGGCAGGAGTGAGCAGCATCATGCTGCATGCAAAGGCAGTGCATCCCTGGAGGGGTGTGCAAACAGCCTTGAAAAGGTGGCAAAGCCAGCACCTTTCCCTGGGTCTGAGGGTGGTGATGAGATGCAAACATGTGCTCAGCATGTGTAATGTATTTCTGCACTAACCATGCATCAAATTATAATTTAAAACCAAAATATTTTTGTTGGATGGGAAGTCCCAGTTCATTAATCAATTGACTAATAGTTTAGTGCTGGAATGGTAAAATCTAACGCTCTGAACAGCTGCTACAAACAGCTGGTGCTTACGGCTCGTGCTGTTTGGGGAAGTGAAATCTAGAGTGTCTTGGTTTTGTTTTTCAGGGAGTTTTTCAGAATTGCTCATTTATCTCCACGAGAAAAGCCCTCAAGCACTCTGGAGTGCAGACCCAGCAGGGATGTGGGACTGGATTCACCAGGGCTCCCACCCGAGACCAAACTGCCCTTGCACTGAGGATGCAGAAAGCACCAGCTGTGCCTGCAAATGTGGCAGCTGGACACAGGGGTGTTCCTGTGGGTCTGCATGAGGGGAACATGCGTAACCCTGTGCTGTCAGGTATTGTGATTTGCTTTTGAATCAAAACTTACATGTGCTGTGCTGTGGGTACAGTAAGGGAGGTGGCACCAACCAAAGGAACAGATTCCAGCTGCTTCCCAGCCTTGGAGGGTGTTCAGCTGGTGCACAGCTCAGGGTCCTGGTGAGGTGGCATGCTGGGGACTGCTGTGTTTTAAGGGGAGGATGTGACTGCCTTGCACTGCCTCCTGCTCTGCTTTCTCAGCAGCTGCTGGTCTGTGCTGAGACTCTCAGCTGCATGGGAGGTGGTAGCAGAGGGCAGTCCCCAACAAGAGGTACAGGAGCAGGGAGACCAGCAGGAGATTGCATGAGTCTCTGAAGTAAAATGTATGACACCACACAAAGACCTCAAAATTCTCAAAACAGCAACATGCGCTGCTGAGACACCTCCTTCCCATGCTGGAGCGCATAGCTCAGTGGTGAGACTGGCCATGGCCAAACCCACCAGAGGAGTCCTGCCCTGCAGGCACTCCAGCTCACCTAAAATAGAGAAGTCCAGAAATATAATTTGGTTCCCAAACACTTGGGTGCCTTGGTGGGAATATCCCTGACCTTTCCAGCAGGTCTGCAGCTTAATGATTGACAAATGCTGCTAAAGCTTTACCAGGTCACACACCACACACCCTAGAGGCAGGTGTCCATTCCCAGAAACCCAGGGATTTTTCAGTTTGAGCTCCACAGCTGGGGTGACTCAGCTGGTCGCCATCAAAATCACAAATCCTCCCAATACATTATTTGTTCCCTTAGCAAGGAGCCAGGTATCATGGGGATGAAATCTGCAGCTGGAGGGGAATGAAGTGTAACCATCATGTTGGTCCTCAGTGTGGGAATTTGAGTGTTCTCTTAGGAACATGATGAAACTCTCCATGTGAAGTGGTGGGTTTTGTTCAGCTTCAGCCTGCAGCTTGCTCATGGGAGACCTCCCTAAGAAGTAAAAGTGGGGAAAATAACCAAAACCAAACCCACAAACAACCCCCTAAATAAGCTTGTCGAAAAGTTGCTAAGGACATTCCCTGGAAATGAGGTAACTGAAATTTTGGTATAGGCAGATGAAGCAGCTGAGGCA